CCCACGTTGGGCCCGTGCCACCACTGCCAGAAATGGGGACACTATAACGGTAGAACAGTGGGAGGTACTGCACGAGGCGGATCCCGTCCAGGCTAATGCTGACAACCGCCAGCATCACAGGCAGACCGTGTATCTGGAGGGTAAAGCGGTTCAGGGGCTACGTGACTCAGGAGCCACCATCACCCTGGTAAAAAGTCATCTAGTCTCAGACCAGGCTAAACTAAATAAGACTGTGGCCGTCAGGGTAGCCAGGGGAGCAGTATACTGGCTACCTACAGCAAGGGTACATTTGCATTGGGGAGCGGGGGCAGGGCATGTGGAGGTGGGGTTGATGCCGCAGTTACCGGCGGAGGTTTTGTTGGGGAACGACCTGGGGAGGCTTTTGAGCCCCAGACACCCACCACAGGAGAAGCTCACCCTGTGGTTACGCGACAACAGGCCCGCACCCAGGACTACAACACACTCCCGGAGGTTCAGGTAAGAGATCCTTCCCCTTCCCTTGACTGTGTTCCCTGGGCCCCTCCTAACGAATTTGCAGCTGAAGTAGTGACTGACCCCACCTTGCAGGTGTATAGGGACAAGGTGACAGCAGACACTCCTGGGGGGGAGGGCGAAAGGTTTATTTGGGACAAACAGCTGCTATATCGGGAGACGGATAAGAAGGTATCCGGGTCAGACCAGATTGTGATGAGGCAGTTAGTGGTACCTCAGCGGTACCGGGCGGAGTTAGTACGGATAGCACATGATATTCCGCTATCTGGACATTTAGAGGTCAGCCAGGAGGTGCGCAGATATTGCAACACGTGCGATACCTGTCAAAGGGTGGGGAAAAGGGGGGACCGGCGCAAGGCCAAGTTACATCCCCTTCCCATAATCGAGGAACCCTTTAGCAGGGTAGCAGTTGACCTAATAGGACCCCTCAACAAAGCAAGCCCGTCAGGTAAAAGATTTATCCTTACAGTAGTAGATTATGCCACTAGATATCCAGAGGCGGTGGCCCTGACGAATATACAGGCGGAGACAGAAGCAGAAGCCCTGATGAAGATATTCTCCCGGGTGGGACTCCCCAGGGAGATTGTCTCCGATCAGGGCACCCAATTCACCGCCGAAGTCACGCAGCGCCTCTGGAAGTTTCGTGACATTAAGCCGGTCATTAGTTCCCCTTACCACCCCCAGACGAATGGGCTCTGCGAACGTTTCAACGGTACATTGAAACAAATGCTCCGAACCTTCGCAGAGACCCACAAGGACTGGGAGAAGTTCCTGCCACACCTCCTCTTTGCTTACAGGGAGGTGCCGCAGGAATCCACTGGGTTTTCCCCATTTGAACTATTGTTTGGCCGCAGGGTACGAGGGCCTTTAGATTTGATCAGAGAGCATTGGGAGGGAGAACGGAGCACTGACGGTACCCCCATCATACCATATGTGTTGGCATTCCGAGACCGCCTTGAGGCCTTAACTCAGACGGTACGCGAGAATTTGCAGGCGGCTCAGACACGCCAGCGCACATGGTATGATCGGGGCGCCAGGGACCGTAGCTTTCAGGTCGGGCAGAAGGTGTTGATCTTAAAACCTGTCCGACACGATAAGCTGCAGGCCGCCTGGCAGGGCCCTTATAAGGTGGTAGAACAACGGTGTGACACCACTTATATAATCGGCTCGTGCGTTGGTACTGGGGGGCGACGCATGCTCCATGTAAACATGATGAAGCCCTACCAGGAGCGCTCTGAGGAAGTGACCGCTATATGTGCGCCTAACTCCGAGGAGTTTGACAGTTTACCTCTCCCGGATCTGCTGGGAGAGGGTCAGTTATCCGGGGACTTAGGGGAAGTCACCCTGGGGGATCGGTTGAGCCCACAGGAGCGGAGCGAGGTACAACAGCTGTTGAGGGAGAAGCAGGATATCTTCTCTAATGTACCTGGTTACACTCCTCTGGCCACTCACAGAGTAGACACCCCAGGGCAACTTCCCATGCGTCAGACCCCGTACCGCATCCCAGAAGCGGTACGGGCGAACATGCGCAAGGAGATCGATGAGATGCTCCAGCTGGGGGTGATTGAGCCCTCCGACAGCCCCTGGGCATCTCCGGTAGTACTAGTACCAAAGCGGGACGGCACGACCCGGTTTTGTGTAGACTACCGGAGATTAAATGAGAAGACGGTATCTGACGCCTACCCCATGCCCAGGATAGACGAACTCCTGGATCGGATGGCGAGGGGGCACTATCTCACCACGATTGACTTGTGTAAAGGGTATTGGCAAATACCCTTGGCGCAAGACGCCATCCCTAAGTCGGCCTTTGTCACCCCATTCGGCTTGTACCAATTTAAGGTCATGCCGTTTGGGATGAAAAACGCCCCGGCTACTTTTCAGCGGATGGTGGACCGCCTCCTGGATGGGTTCCAAGATTATACCTGCGCATACCTCGATGATATTGCCATTTTCAGCAATACCTGGCAGGAACACCTGACCCATATAGGAGCGGTCCTAGACAGGATTAGGGCCGCTGGTTTAACACTGAAACCAGCCAAATGCAGCATAGGCATGGCTGAAGTACAGTACCTAGGTCATCGGGTAGGATGCGGCAAGCAAAAGCCGGAACCAGCCAAAGTAGAGGCTGTAGCTCAATGGCCTACCCCTAGGACTAAGACTCAGGTGTTAGCGTTCCTAGGAACGGCCGGATACTACCGGAAATTTGTCCCGAATTACAGTGCCCTGGCCAAACCTCTCACCGACTTGACCCGTAAAAACCTACCCCGCCAAGTAACCTGGACCCCGGAGTGTGAACAGGCATTTCAGTTGTTGAAAGATGCATTGACAAATGCCCCTGTCTTGGCAGCTCCCAATCCAACTAAACGTTTTCTTGTCCACACAGACGCTTCTATGTTTGGATTGGGAGCAGTATTGAGCCAAGTCGGGGCCGATGGCGGAGAACATCCCGTGGCTTACATCAGCCGGAAACTGTTACCTCGAGAAGTAAGCTACGCCGCCATCGAGAAAGAATGCCTGGCTGTGGTGTGGGCCCTGAAGAAATTACAGCCATATTTGTACGGACAAGCTTTTTCCCTGCTCACGGATCACAACCCGTTAGTATGGCTAAACCGGGTGGCTGGGGACAATGCCCGGCTGCTGCGCTGGAGTCTGGCGCTGCAGCCCTTTGACTTTAATATCCAGTACCGCCCGGGTAAACAGAATGGAAATGCTGATGGGTTGTCTCGACAAACTGACCTAGAGAAATGATCCGTGAGCCTCCCCGGACATCCCCAAGCCGATCCGTGTTGGATCAGACTGTGTATGCCGGCTTGTGGGCAAGGGGGAGCAGTGTAGCGGATGGCACCAGGCGACCCTACAAATATACTGTATATACCTGCATTCGTGTATCTGCTGTATTTTCTATGTATTAAAAAGAATTGTATTCCTCTGATTGTTCGGTAGTTTCATTCCCTTAGTTTATTCGAATGAAACTACCGAACAACCAGACCTCCCCTGTGTGAAGTGTGTCCTCAATTACCCGTTGCAACATTGTTGCGAACGGGTAATTGAATAGTAAGTAGCCGTCCTTTGTTCTCGGGGGTGGCCGCCATTCGACAAACGAACACGTGGCGGCGGCCATTTTAAAACTCCCGAACAGCGGTGTTTTGCCGTCGAGTGTCTGGAACTAAAATCGGACACTCGAGTAGGCGAACACCGCTGAGACCTCCACAGCCCTGGTCCGTTCGGTTCCAAACTACCGAACGGCCCCTCGTTCGGTAGATAGAAAATACCGAACGAGGGGATTCAGGCGAACCCTCCCCAGCCTCTATAGCTAGAGGCTTTCGTGTATTTTGTTCCCTTATGCCAGGACCGACCGCAGGGCCCATTCGCATGGAACCTTATTCGGCTAAATCAGTTAGTGCGGTCGGTCATTTTATTCCCTCCATACATCTCCCGAACCCCTGGTCTGATCTGGGTGATTTTTGGATATGTTGTTCACCCAGATCAGGGGTATCCGGGGATGTAGGATTTAAAGAGGTACCCCTATGTTTAGGGGTACATCCAGAAACGGGGGGAATTACTGTGCTGGATAAGGGGATTATGATGCTGGCTGAGGGGAGGAGATGTGTGGGAGGTTACCAGGACAGGATTGGCTACTGTAATAATTACTGTAAATCCCTCCCTTGCATGGGAGCATGCTTTATAAGGAGACTGTGATTAAAGGCTTGTCAGTTATGCTCCTGAAACTGTGTGTCGTCCAGTTATTGGGATTGCTGTTGGGATATTGCTGTATTTTACCTGCTGGAAGCCTTGCCTGTGGATTTACTATTTACTTGTTCCTGAGCCTCACTTGGATTACAAGCGGAGATATCCTGGGTAATATTGCATCTCCGCTACACCTGTGATGTCACTAGCCTGTACACTTGTATTGACCATCTTTTGGGTTGTGAAGCCACACGCTATTTTTTAGAAATGTCTGCACTTTATCCCTCAGACCAGGTAGATTTTATTATGGAGGGGATTCTGTTTATTTTACAAAATAATTTCTTTTGGTTCGAGGGAGAATACTATTTGCAATGTAAGGGCACAGCGATGGGGACCAGGTTCACACCCAGCTATGCAAACCTTTTTATGGCCTATTGGGAAAATAGGTTTGTCTATTCTACACATGACTGGTGTGCGAACCTGGTCCTCTATAAAAGATATATATTTTTTTTTTTTTTCAATGTGTTTTATTTGAATAAGTTTTTCATCATTCACATAACACAGAATACAAATCAAATGGGGGAACAGAAGAGAAAAGGGGAAGGGGGGGAAGGCAGCTTGCATAGATCATCACATGCGGTACAATGTCATTGAACAAACCTTGATATTAGTTCAAATGGAAATAACAGTTGTCAGTTAGAGCGATATATGACAGTACAGTGGTGGAAATACATGAAGACGACCTGGTATCAGACAAATAACAGTAGAACACTTATCACAGAGAGTTGTGTCGGGAAAGCCCGGGGGGGGTTGGAGACCGATTACGGGCCCTGAGGGGGAGGCTCGCCCTTCCTATAGTCCACCCAGACCTGCCATCGTGATCTGTATTTAGTTTGGCTGCTGGTCAGCCGGCTAGCCATGCGTTCGTATGCGTGGGTTGAGTCAAGTCTGCCTAAGATTTCTGGCAGCGTTGGTGACAAAGGGGACTTCCATCTGTGCTCGATGGCAGTTTTGGTGGCCATTAAGCAGTGAATCGTGAATACAGCCGTTTCCACAGGGAGGGTATCTGGGAAGATATGTAAAAGGAAGCATTCTGGCGTCAAAGGTACTGTTACACCCAGAATTTTATATAGAAGTGCATGTATCTCCTGCCATAGCGAGGTAATATGTGTGCATGACCAGAATATATGGAGGAGGGACCCCTCACAGTTGTGGCATCTCCAGCATCGATCGTCGGCTCCCGGATATATGTGGGCCAATTTGGTGGGGACTAGATACCAGCGCATCGTTAGCTTGCAGTATGTTTCCCATTGGTTAAGGCTGTGGGAAGCCTGTTTAGTTAAACTTTGGGCGTAATGCCACACTTCTATTGGGATATACATTCCTAGATCTGATTCCCATTTGGACATGTACGATGTTTTAGATGGCTTATTGTGGAGCAATAACATGTTGTAGCATAAGGATAAGGCTTTGGTTTTCGGTAGTTTGCCCATGCATTTAAGGATAAACGGCGTTGAGTGGTCGGGTTCCCCCATGTTAATCCTGCATTCCTGGATAATATTTTTTAATCTGAGGTAGGAGAATAGTTCTCGTGGGGAGATATGGAATTCCCGGATTAAATCTGGGAAAGGCTTGATGCCATCTGGGGTCATTAATGAACGGACATGGGAGATCCCCTGTTTAAGCCAATTGTCTAAATGGATGTCTGGCGTACGCGCAGCCAGGGCCTGCAGTGGGGCTGCGAGGAGCAGGTCGTTGCTTCGGAGGAATAATGATGTGGATCGCTTCCAGTTATGGAGGAGCGAGACTGTTGTGGGTAGCAAGGATTTGGTTTTGGTTATGGGGAGTTTTGACCCTGCCCATAGAGATAAGGGAATTGAACCGTTGGCTGTGCAGGCGTTTTCCAACGCCAGCCACACCGGGGGAGAAGGGCGTTCAAGGATCGTCAGGCCTTGGGCCAGCAATGACGCCTTGTAGTAAAGGTTAACATTGGGAACACCCAGACCCCCTTTTGTAAACGGGCGCCAGAGTGATTTTTGTGCTATTCTGGGGGGTTTCCGTTTCCAAATATGAGCGTTTATCATGGCCTGAAAGTTTTTTAAAATAGGATTAGGGATTGTAATGGGGAGGGTGCGGAATAAGTATAAGATATGCGGGAGAATCATCATTTTTACAGTATGGATGCGTCCTATCCAGGAGATCTCTTTCTCCTCCCATGTCTTAAGTTGTTGTTCTAGTCTGTGAATAAGTGGTAAGTGGTTTTCTTGCACTATTGCTGAATGCCTTGAAGGCAACTTTATGCCCAAATATGAGATGGAGGAGTCCCGCCATTCGAAGGGATACAGCGATTTCAGGGGGGAGAGGGATGCGTGTGACAGCCCAATCGCCATCGCTTGTGTCTTTTTGGCGTTGTTTTTATAGAACGAAACCTTACCATAATTCCCCAAGAGGGTTATCAAGTTCGGCAGCGATTTCTCCGGGCGTGTTAAAAATAGGAGAACATCATCTGCGAATAGAGCTATTTTTTGGTTCCCTATGGGGGTGTCTAGGCCTTCAATTGTTTCGTCATTTTTTATATGTCTGACCAGAGGTTCCATACATATTATAAAGATTAATGGGGAGAGGGGGCAGCCCTGTCTAGATCCATTTGATATTTGAAAGGGTTGAGAGAGAAACCCAGAATTAAAAATTCTGGCAGCTGGATTAGCGTATAGGGCCATGATCCCTGTCAGAAAGTCTAATGGGATGCCTACTGCGGTTAGCACAGCCCTCATATAAGTCCAATTTAGGCGGTCGAACGCTTTCTCCGCGTCTAGGGCTAACAATATGCCGCTTTGGTTAGATTTTTGGGCCCAGGAGATTAGGTTCAGAAAGTGTCGTGTATTGTCCCCCGGTTGTCTATTCGGGACAAACCCTGCCTGTTCTGGAGAGACCAGATCTTGCAGGAAGGGTTGAAGGCGGTTGGCTAGTAATTTGGCATAGAGTTTTGTGTCCGCGTTCAACAGGGATATAGGCCTCAAATTGGCACATTCAGTGGGAGGTTTGCCCGGTTTGGGAAGTGTAATGATATGGGCAAGCAACATCTCATCTGGCATGGTTCCTGAGTCTTTAAAGGAGTTAAAAAGGGCTGTAAGGTGTGGGGTGAGCTGTGTTTCAAATGTGGAGTAAAAGTGGTTAGAGAAACCGTCTGGGCCTGGGGCTTTATGTTTAGGTAGTTTGTGTATTGCATTTCGTACTTCTTCTTCCGTGAAATTGGCCGACAGGATTGCACTTTGTTGTGCAGTCAATCGGGGCAATGTAGCCTCTGTCAGAAAAGTGGTTATTTCCGATTCGATTGGTTGGTGTAGTGTTTTGTCCTGTGCAAGATTGTAAAGATCTTTATAGAAATTAGCCAATTCGTTCACGATATCTTGCGGGTTGAATAGTTTTGAGCCAGTGGTTGATGTCATGTATGGGAGTTTGGATTGAATGTATCGGGATTTTAATCGGTTTGCAAGCAATTTGCCCGCCTTGTTCCCTTGCATATAGTGGGCGAGCTTCAATTTGCGGAGCTGTCGCTCCATGCTCATCAGGGACATTTCCAGTAGTTTTTCCCTCACCCTTTCAATTTTGCGGGATACAGTTTTAGTTGGTTTAAGTTTATTAGCTTGGTCTAGTGTTTTAAGTTGGGAGAGTAGATTATCTGATTCAGTAAGGGTGGTCCTTTTATTTATTGCGCCTGCCTGGATTAACAGGCCTCGTAATACGGCTTTGAGGGCTAACCATTTGGTGTCTATGCGGGTGGGGTCAGATTGGTGGGTTTCGAAGAACGTTACTATGCTGGCCCGAATTTTTGTGGCAGTGACCTCGTTGTCTATGAGGGATTCATTCAGACGCCAGGAGCTGCGCCCACGTGAGGGATACAAAGCCCTGAACGTAGTGGTTACCGGCGCGTGGTCAGACCATGTCCGGTCACCTATTTGCACCTCGGTTAGGTTGGGTACCGTAGTCTTATCTACCCAGCACATATCTATACGGGAGTATGTGTGGTGTACTCGTGAGAAATAGGTGTAGTTTTTCTCTGTTGGGTAGAGGGTGCGCCAAGTATCATAATAATCGTATGTATGGAGCAATGTACTGAGGGTAGTGCTCATAGAACTAGCGTGTTGCAGGGGATGCTTGCCTTCAATGCGCTTAATGTCCAATTCGGGGTCTAGCATGCAGTTCAGGTCACCGCAGATTATGGTGTGTCCTACATGGAGGTTAGAAATTTTAGCTAGCGCTCTTTTAATGAAGGAAGTTTGGGAATTGTTAGGTGCATATATGGATGCTATCGTGAGTTGCATTCCATTCAGTGAGCCCACTACTATGAGGAGCCTGCCTAGCTCGTCTGCATAAATGTTATCGAGATGGAAAACCCAGTCAATGTGGAACAATATAGCCACCCCTTTCGTTTTATTTGGAGCGAGGGCATGGAATACCTGTTGGTATCTAGATGAGTTCAGTTTGGGGGGGTTCCTTTTACACATGTGTGTTTCCTGGAGGCAAACTATAGCAGCCTGAGATTTATGGATGGTTCTAATCACAGAGCTTCTTTTAAATGGGCTATTCAGGCCATTAACGTTCATAGATAAGCATTTAAAATGGTACGACATCTTAAAGGAACATAAAGCGGAGCTTATTGGTTAGTATATAACATCTGTCGTCGAAAACCTCTGGTGTCTGATTATGTTTTATACAAGTACAAAACGTTGCAGCTGCCGGAAAGACGGGGAGGGGAATAACATGGGAATCAAAATAAGCAAACATAAGGATATACAATGTCTCTCGTAGATGAGAGAAAAACATGGGATTCAGAGGGGAGCCTTGGATTTCCAAGATCCTCGAATTCCCTTGGAGGGTCGTGCGGAGCAGGGCCGCACCCGGGCCAGAATCTTAAGGTAAGCAAGTCTAGAAAGGGTAAAAAACTTGGGAGAATATGTGTTTAGGCAGCAATCTCACCTGCTCCCTGCATAGATCGATAAGGCAGCATAAGGAGACATGGGCAGCGTATATGTGGTATCGCAGCCGGGGCTACCAAGACATACTATGTACAGCTATATTTTTATTGCTTTTTTTTTTTTTTTCTTACTCATAGTGGAACAGTGAGTGCAGTTATGTCCCAAGGCTGCATTCTTGGCCCACGGAGGCAACCTGTCATCTAAATAGTTTTATGTCGTCCTATGAGGAGAGGGGTTGATGGGGGCCCTGCTTGTGGGGTGAGAAGGAAGCAGTTAAGGTGGGTAGGTTTTTGGGGGCCTTCAGCCCAAAGAAAGAGTATGTAGCAATATGGGTGAGCGTAGGGATGTCAGCCTTTCTTACTAGTTGGTTACATTATGTGGCAGTGAGGTATACGATATCCTTTCTTGCATTTCTATGTGTATGTATAAATACATACATCTACGTAGGCCTAACATTTTTCTTTTTTTTGGCATACTCTCTCTACCCCCCCCCCGTCCCTTCCTCATTAGGAGATAAATAAAAAAACAAAAGAACGTTCATACAATACCACTCGTGGTAGCTGAAAGCAGCGATCACCAACAATGCATTGACATATATGCCTGGTATGCGGCTCCGGTCAGCCGGAAGCTGTCCCTGGATGAAAGGCTAATGTCCAGAGCTAGTATATAAAATATAAAGTCAGTTGATGTGTCTTCCTACGTCTTCCTTGGGGCTTGCAGGTATGTGGAGCCAGGGAGATTCTATCTTCGGCGGAGCAGTCCTCAGCGCCTCGCGCCGACCATCTGCCATTCGGGCCGGGTCTTCTTCGGTGTGGGAGTATTATCCGCTGGTGCTTGGGTAGCTTCTGGTGGGCACCAGAGGCCCCATTGTTTCAATGTGGCTAGGCCTCCTACTGGGTCATCAATAACGTGGAGCTTGTTGTTCCTCCAGATTAATAGTTTCGTGGGAAACCCCCATCGGTAAGCCTGCGCGTGGTTGATGGTGATGGAGGGGAATTCCTTGCGCCTCGCCATAGTGAGGGCCGAAAGGTCAGCAAAAATCGAGATGGCACTATAGGGGTCGGGTAGCGTAGATAGGGCCCTGGCTGCCTTAAGAAGTGCTTCTTTAGCCTTATAGTAGTGAAAGCGCACGATGATGTCGCGCGGTACTTCCGCCCCAAATCTAGGCGGTTTAGGGACCCGGTGGGCTCTGTCCAGTTCCCATGTGATGCCGGAGAGGTCAGGGGCCAGAGTGGCACTTAGGGTGGTTATATAGGCTGGGATCTGGTCTGACGCAACGGACTCTGCTACCCCCCGGAACCTCACATTATTCCGGCGGGAGCGGTCCTCCATATCGGCCATCTTGTGCCAAAGTTTGGTATTATCTTCTTCCAGTTTTTTCAATTTGTCTGCCAGCAGATTATGAGCTGAGCAGAGGTCGTCTGTCTTGCGTTCGACCTGATCGGTCCGGTCACCCAACTCCTCCAGTTCTTGATGAATGCCCGCCATGGCAGTTGTAAAGTCCTCTTTGATTGTGGACCTGAGGTCCATGAGCATTTGCTTGAGGTATTCTTTAGAGAATTGGGAATCATCCGATGTTGGTTGTGAGGGAGTCTCGTTGTAGTGATCAGAGTCTGGAGACTGGGCTCTGCTGGCGACGCCATCTTGGGCCTGTTTCAGCCTTTCCCTTTTGGGGTGGCGGACCGCGTCCGTTAACTTCGTCTGTTTCGAGGGGGACATTAGGACCCGCTGGGCTTTCACCCTCTGTCGGATTAGGTTAGATCTGGTACGATTTTCTTATTTAGTATGATTAATCTGGCCCGGGGGGTGCGGAGCTCCTACTCCATGCGACCGATCTTGCCGGAAGTTGGACACGCCCCCCCCTCTATAAAAGATATATTGATGATATCTTTTTTATTTGGAAAGGAGACGAGACGCAGGTTTTAGCCTTTTTAAGTTTTTTAAATAGTAATCAATGGAATATCCAACTGACTCAAGATATTATCAAAAAGAAAATTAATTTTTTAGATCTGGAAATTTATATAGAAAATTATCAAATTAAGACGAAAACTTTTTTCAAGAAAGTGGATGTCAACAGTTACATGTCAACAGTTGGAATCTTTTAA